GCTGTAACAACAAAAGCCCTTCTTTCAGTAGGACCTAAGGGTTCATGACGATCGTGTATTAATAATATAGTTATTGACTTTTTGGAGAGTATTGTTGTCCTCCCCCCCATTTCAAGACAGCGTTTCGGAAGACTTGACTCCTTTTCCGTCCTCAGGTAAAAGCGTACTCAGTTGGACCCAATCGACAGGGCTAGTCCCTATCTCCGGAGACGGTCCAGTCTCTGAGATATTGTTTTTAAGTGAAAAGCAGGGCAATGAGTAATGCCCGAAAAGTAAAATATTGCACCGTTCTCGCAGTTTAGTGTACTTACTTATGGAGCTGAGCCCTTCTTGAGGAGCCGCCAATTCTGCAGCTACTCAAGAATTTCCCAGCATTTTATGGAACCCGAAGTTTCATTGTCGTGTTCACAAGAGCCCTCCACTGGTCCCTATCCTGAGCCAGATCAATCCAATCAATCCCATCCCATCCTGTCTCTCTAAGATCAATTTTAATATTGCCCACCCACCTACGCCTTGGTCTTCCCGGTGGTCTCTTTCCTTCTGGCTTTCCCACCAATATCTTATATGCATTCCTCTTCTCTCCCATTCTTGCTACATGCCCTGCCACCTGATTCTCCTTGACTTGATCATTCTAATTATACTTCGAGAAGAGTACAAGTTATGAAGCTCTTCATTATGCAGTTTTCACCAACCTCTTGTCACTTCATCTCTTTTCGACCAAAATATACTCCTCAGCACCCTGTTCTCAAACACCCTCAGTCTATGTTCCTCCCTTAATGTCAGAGACCAAGTTTCACACCCATACAGAACCACAGGCAAAATTATAGTTTAGTTTATTCTAATTTTTATGTTTTTGGACAGCAGACGAGAAGACAAAAGGTTCTGGACTGAATGGTAGCAGATATTACCCGAGTTCAGTCGCCTCTTAATTTCCTCCTCAATCAGATTTTTATCTCCCAGTAGATTCACATTATCGGCATAGACCAACAGCTGATGTGTCCTGTTTAATTTCACTCCTGCCTGGTATCCCTGGTTCAATTTAGTATTTCTTGTCAAAAATGCCTTTGAGTGTAGGTTACATGCCTTGAGTAAGCAATGTTACAGGAGAAACTTCCTGTGTATTCAAAGAGGTCCAGTATGGCGATTTTTGTTCCCGTGTTATACTTGTTGCAATGAAAACAGAATAAAACAAGTTCCTAAAGATGACGTAAAGAAATACGTCACTGTCAGATGATGAGGCTGCCTCAAGGATGTTTCTCACGGTGGTTAATTGTGGATGTGTTCTTACAGCATGTGGTTATGGACGATGTTTCCAGCTTTTCTGAAGTACGTGCCTTCATCCTCAGGGTAGGCAGCGTATACCTTCGAAACGTCGGCAGCATTGCTGACAACCATACAGTGTAACAAGAACTTCTGGGAAGAACTGATCACCTTCTTTCCTTTGATACTACGCGGATCGCATAGAAGACGACGCGTCCAACAATTGTTCTATTGTTTGCGTGTATATTCGTTGCAGCTGTAACGTTTTTACCGAGCCGTTGTCTAGCAACATACGCATACAGACAGACTTCTAGGAGGCATTTATGAAATAGGTCGTTCCTGATGGGCTCAGGCAGTACCATGATATGCACAGTAATTTTCATAAAGATTGTTTCACATATTCAGAAGTTGATAGGGGTGGGGATTCACGAACACACAGACAGAATGGTGATCTAATAAGCCTACCTTTATTTTTTTCAGAATAAGAAAAGTAGACTAACAACCTCAAATCAGAATTAACATCAGGATCCCTACTGTCCTTTGCATGGGACAGGAGTCGGCGATGAGTGGCTAAGGGTTACATTACCGTAAGCCGGAGGATTATATTTGCTTGTTTATACTGTACGCAGAGTCTGAAATCAATCCAGCCTGTTATGTAACGCGTGAAGGAGGAGATAGTTTCACCTCCAGATATAATTAAATCAAAATATTTAGAATGTACATGTAAGAGTACGATATTGAAACTAGTTTGGTCCTGGTTTCCTGCATCGTCGAATTGATCGACTCTTGTTAAAGGTTTCTTCTCAGTCACTCCAGGCAGATGTGATGGTATCTAAAAATAGGCTATAATTCTTACACGCTCTTTGCAGTCCAGCTTTTACCAGTCCGAGGACCATTCGACGCTACTTAGTTATTTTAGAGAGGGTGGGTTTCCCCATGCACCGCGACCAGTTTGATCTATTGTGCTTCCCTCTATGATATTCTACAAGTCTCTTTACCATACCGATAAATGGTGCGTATCATCAGTCCCGCCGAGCAAACGAGTTCGGCCACTTGCTTAGCGGTGTCTATAATGCTTCCCCCATCTATCGGAGGCCTTAGAGGCTATTGTTGGGCGGGAAACGTCCTGGAATTTGGCTCAGTGATCCCCTTTGGGGATATGAGGTTCTTTTACGTGCCGTAAAGTTACGACACGGGACACACAGCTTAAAGTCCCCCCCGGAGGACTTGTTCCCTGAATTTTTCCGCCCTTAAAAATTCGACGACCTCCGCCGGGTATTTGAACCCGCGTACCACGAGTCATGAGGTGGGAACGTTACCTCTAGACTACGGAGGCCGCTTTCGACGCTACTTAACCTGCGTAGTTGATTAAATAAAGCGAGAATGATATTGCCGCAGCCGGTCAACAAACCCGAGATTAACGGCCGTGGGAATCTGTTGCGCTGACCACGCCGCGGTCGCTCAGTTGGTATAGTTCGCTTGCGGACTACAAGCCACGGAGTTGATATTACCGCAATTTAATAGCTTCATTAACATCAGATTTCCCGGCGCTGTGTAATCAGTCTTAGTCTCAATACTGACAGGTCATTAAATAACGAACTTCAGGGCCACTATATTTGACCAGGTTGGCTGGAGTAGCAGTAACGCTCAAGATTTCGGTTTGGAACGCCGGCGTTAATTTACGCAGCCCCTTCGGGCAAATTCCGGGATAGCACCTCCTTTTCCTTCCAGATCTCTTCCTGTTCATTATTCACTAATCCTGCCATTCGATACTATGTAGTGTGGCATATTAGAAGTGGGAGCATCATAAAATGAACCACAGAAGGAACAAGATTTGCATATGCAGTAACTTCGGCAAGAAAATTGTGTAAAATGGCAACGGACGCTCTTGTTCGATCGTTGTATGCAAAGCTTCCGAGTTTCTTGTCCTGTGATGTGAACACACTGAACGCAAAGAAACGAATGGTCTGCATAAACGTCCATTGCGCACAGGGCTTCAAGAAGAGCCACGCAAATAATCGCGTCGCAAGAAGCGGATCGAAATAACTGACACTATCCAAAGTCTTAGTACGGATTTGATGATCTGGGTTCAGTTCCCGCCGTGGAAAGTGACATAGGCCACTGAACACGGTCAGTGAACACGGTAATGAACCTTCGACTTCCATAAAATGCTGGGAAATTCTTGAGTAGCTGCAGAATTGGCGGCTCCTCCAGAAGGGCTTAACTCCATGAGTAAATAAGTAAGTAAGTAAGTGGGGTGGGACTAATTCCCTTGCACTGCGGCCACTTCTGGCCTATTGTAGCCTGCCCCAAGTGATTATGATGATGGAGAATTTGGTGGAATGAAGATTGGCATGGGAAACAGAAGTACTCGGAAAAAACCCGCCCCAGCGCCACTTTGTCCACCACAAATCCCACTTGACTAGACCCAGGATCGAACCATGGCCGCCGCGGTGGGAAGCCAGCGACTAACCGCTTGAGCTATGGCGTGGCCTAACGGAAAAGTTCCTTGCCACAATACCGTACAGTTATGGGTGCAAAACTTCAGAACGAGTACTTTCGCATTAAAAAAGAAAAAAGAAAAAAAAAACACCAGGCAGTGTGCGTGCAGTGCAATCGTCACAGAACATTGAGGCTGCGAGGCAGTCATTCACAAGAAGTCCAAGAAGTTCACCCAGGAGACATTCTGTTGCTCTGGGAATATTCGGTCGCACACAGATCTAAACTTCCATCCCCACAAAATGGTGTTGCAAGAGCTAAGCGATCGAGACACTGCAAACCGTAGCACGGTAGCTGAGCGTTTAATCGGAATTTTGTCTGACGGTGTCATTATCCTTATATGACAGATGAAGCACACTTCCACTTATCTGGCTGTGTCAACAAACGGACTTTTCGCTATTGGTCAGAGGAAAATCCACGACTTCTTCGCAGTGCACTTGTGACTGGTGTGGAGTGGCAAACTTCGGAGTCACAGGCCCTTATTTCTTTAAGACGAAGATAGGAGTACAATTACAGTCACTTCAGCTCGTTAAGTTGAAATGTTACGAACTTCTTCACACCAGAACTGAGCTCTCGACCATATGGTTCAGCAAGATGGTGCGAGAGCATCCATGGAGGTCGTTACTTCATTGCGCGGCGAGCTTCCATAGCCTGCACGTTCGCCTGGTCTCTTTGTCTGTGATTATTTCATTTGGGGGTACCTCAGAGCGAAAATGCACACCACTAGACCACGGACCATCGAAGACTTCAAGACCGCAGTTCCGAAGCCAGTTTCGGCGGTACCAGAAAACATGGCGAGGCGAGCGCTCTGAAAATTATGGACCAAGGTTGGAAGAGTGTGTAGGCAATGGTGGGCAACGTGTTAGTGATGTGCTGTTCGAAACGAAGTAAACAGAGAGACGCAAAGGAATGTGTGTGGAATAAAATAGCATTCAGTCATTTTGTACACAATAAATCAAAAAGTAAATTAAAATTTCACTGCTTTACTCGTATATAGTTTTGAAAATCGTCAGATTCTTCTTCTTCTTTAACTTGAAATAGGTCACGGATTTTTCTTATACATCCTTCCAAATAATTTTGTAATTTCATATTCTTTAAGCAACACAGTTCATAAAACATCGTTCAGTAAAAGAAGCAGACCACTGGGCCAGTCTGGCTCAGACGTTTATTTAGTGAAGTCTCTACAAAACATCACATCCTTGTTGTTTCTGTAATGGTGATCACATGTATTATTGTTACAGGAGCAGGCCCATGATGCGAAGCAGCAGGCGGTATCACCAGAGGACACTGAAGATCTGTCCCCGCTCCCGTCAGCAGTACAACAGCCTGCAAGAAGGCGAGGTGGAATATCTGCAGAACCTGTGTCAGAGGAGGATGCTACCAGCTATGTGAAAAAGGTATATACTTTTTCTTATTGCTAGTGGGGTGATGCTTGGTACCATTCAGTCGAGAACCTTTTGTCTTTTCGTCTGTTGTCCAAAAACATAAAACTTAGAATAAACTAAACTATAATTTTGCCTGTGGTTCTGTATGGGTGTGAAACTTGGTCTCTGACATTAAGGGAGGAACATAGACTGAGGGTGTTTGAGAACAGGGTGTTGAGGATATATTTTGGTCGAAAAGAGATGAAGCGACAGGAGGTTGGAGAAAACTGTATAATGAGGAGCTTCATAACTTGTACTCTTCTCCAAGTATAATTAGAATGATCAAGTCAAGGAGGATGAGGTGGGCAGGTCATGTAGCACGAATGGGGGAGACGAAGAATGCGTATAGGATATTGGAGGGAAAGCCAGAAGGAAGGAGACCACAGGGAAGACCAAGTCGTAGGTGGGTGGACAGTATTAAAATGGATCTTAGAGAGAAAGGATGGGATGGGATGGATTGGCTAGATCTGGCTCAGGATAGTAATCAGTGGAGGGCTCTTGTGAACACGGTAATGAACCTTCGGGTTCCATAAAATTCTGGGAAATTCATGAGTAGCTGCAGAATTGGCGGCTCCTCCAGAAGGGCTCAGCTCCATGAGTAAGTAAGTAAGTGGGGTGGGACTAATTCCCTTGTACTACGGCCACTTCTGGCCTGTTGTACGAGCCCCAGATGATAGGTTGAGGGTGACTGTGAAGCAATTGGTGGAATGAAGATTGGCAGGGGAAACCGAACTACTTGGAGAAAACCTGCCCCAGCGCCACTTTGTTCACCACACATCCCACTTGACCAGACCCCGGGATCGAACCCGGGCCGCCATGGTGGGAAGCCAGCGACTAACCGCTTGAGCTATGGCACGGCCTAAGGTACTTAATTTAATGTACAGTACGGGTATGCTTCATTTGCATTGGTTCTTGCTGCATAGAACGTGCTCCATCATCTGAATGCCCAGTTGTCTGATAGCCTTTTGAAATCTGAACCTCATATAAGTAATATTTAAGAGTTCCTCTCAGCCTCCAAGAAAATATGAGCATAATGCAGCTCCTTTGCAAAGATGGTAGTGATGCATAGGGAAACAGTCCTGATTATTCTTGGAAATAAATTAAACTTATAAATACACTCTGTAGGTAAAAAGCAGCTAGTTAATGTTAATGCCAATGGTACATCACTGCCATATTTAATGAGTTAGTGATTTGGGTGCCTTGTTAGTTTAGTGAGAGTAATGCTTTCTGGAAGAAGTGTCAGCTTAAAGCATTAAGTAATTTGAAGCATTCTGTAGCACCATTTTATATAGGATTCAAGATACTCACGACAGTTACTATGAAGAGTACTGTCCTCTGGGGTCTGTTCACCATGTATTTTAGTATAAGTTTGCTGAAGTTTTGGAGGAACATATTGCCCCAATCTTTGGGGTTGAAGAGTAAACCAACCAAGCAGTAATGGACTTGCATTTTGTTGGTTGTTTCTTTGCCTTATTCTTCAGCCCTGAAGATGGGGGAAGTACGTTCTCTGAAATATCAGTAAACTTGTACCTGACTACACAGCATCACGTTGCAGAAGATAATAACGTCTCTTTTATGAGTGTTAAGAAATAAGTGAAAAGGAATAATTCATGAAAATCTGGGTTGAAACTGAGTTCTCAGTTTCCATAAATAAGTGGATTCACATATTCTTGTGACGGAACATCTGGAAGTGCAGTTGCATTAAATCAGATAGGACAGAAGTTCCTGACATTTATAGCATGATTTGTTTATTTCCTAAGGAAAACAGAGCTGTGTTATCATCATGGCCCCCGTGTCTATCTCCCCTCCAGTAATTTTTGAACCTGTATGTGGATTTTCTTGAAATGTGCTACTGTTATTAGAATCCCTTACCTGTATATTTTAGTTTGGAGCATAAATATTAGCAGTGTGGCAGCACTACCTAATGTAGGAACCTGAAATTGTGTGTGTGAAATGTTTTTAAAAAATAAGCAAGTTGGGGGGTGGGGTGATGTAATGCAGCAATGTGACAGCCTTCTAAATTGTGTATTTTTCGTCTGATGGCTGTAGCTAACAAATCATTGAAACTAGATATGTGAAATTATGTACAAAGATTGACAAGAAACGTCCCTGCAAATTTACTGTCGAACTGTTTTTATAAGTTTACGCTTACAAAACATAATGACTGTGCAGAGTGATTATTCCAAAAATGTAATGTGGTAAGAATCTTGTAGTAAAGAAATTGGCAATTAATTATAATGAATAATTGTTTTATTACTATTAGTTCTGTATTCCTATGTGTATATGAACAAGTCATACCATTTTGCTGCTTAAATGTGCTATTAATTCACTTTGCTTCTCAACTTTAAACTGCACTGTTTTTCCTCAGGTTGTTCCAAAAGACTATAAAACGATGGCTGCATTGTCTAAAGCTATTGCCAAAAACGTTTTGTTTTCACATCTGGACGAGAATGAGCGCTCTGATATATTTGACGCTATGTTTCCGGTCAACTTCTTGCCTGGCGAGACAATAATCCAACAGGGAGATGAGGGAGATAACTTCTATGTCATTGACCAAGGAGAAGTTGAGGTATAATTAATTTCTTATTCGTTAAAGTTGAAGGTTTGGAATGTAAAAATATTGTCACGTATCAGGGTATGTCACACGACAAATCAATTCATGTGGGTCTCGTATTCAGCGAATCTTTATTGGACATTCACTCTTACACACCGTACAATTGTTAACACTTCAAATGTATAGTGTGGCGGCTATCTTCCAACTGTATAGTATGGCGACTAGGTTCCAACTGTGCTTTATGTCTGTGGCTCTCGCCTTATGTAGGTGTTCTGCGGACTCAGTAGAGGACACCCCTCGCCAAGCTTTGATCTGACATGTTTGGCAATTCGTCGCTATGATTTGTCGCTGTAGGATCTCCACAATTTCCATTGTAGCCGTTGCGCGGCGATGGACCTAAGATAACTTGTCACAATATGTTCTTGGTTAACACTGACGCTGTATGTTCAGGAGGACCCTGCTGTGATTCTCTGACTGAAAGTCAGTTATCCTGGCTGAACTTTTCATTGGTTTACCACAGTGCTCAAAGCAAATACAGGTAGTACCTTGAAAAGAGCCTTACCTATTTCAATGCTTACCGTCTCTCTGTTCACTATTCATTTTCCTGTCTGATAGACAGTATATAAAGTATGCACTTGAAACAGTGTCATTAAATTGTAATTCCATTTACTGTTATTACATTTTTAAAGTCAACTTGTTTGTTTCGCATGGTATAACTTTAAAATATAGTGAGAAGTTTTATTATGTAAGTTAGAATGGTTTTTGTCAAGATTAGTAAAAAGGTAACGGTATCCCTGTAACAGGCTGTGGAGACCCATAGGGTTGTGAGATGTCAAGGCTCCTACATTTTCTAGACATTCAGGTCACAGATGGTGGTAAGGTTGTCAGCCTTATGTGCCGGCCACCTTTCACCCCCCAGGAAGATTCCTGGTACTCATTTCTGTTAGAGGCTGAGTCGACCCCAGGGCCATAGTGTGGCTGGAAGGATTAGGTCAATTGAAAATAATTCACCTCATCAGGACTTGAACCCACGACCTGTCAAGATTAGTACCCATAATTGAAACCCAACTTCTTGAGAGGGTGTTTAGAGTGCTCTGTGTTAAGGTGCAGTAACTAAATGAAGAGGCTGCATGTATATATGGCCACATGCAATAAAGTTGTTCCATTCCTCAGGTGTTTGTTAACAATGAGTTGGTGACAACTATTGGAGAGGGTGGCAGTTTTGGTGAACTTGCACTGATCTATGGAACGCCCAGAGCTGCCACTGTAAGAGCCAAGACAGACGTAAAGCTCTGGGGAATAGACCGTGATTCATATAGACGCATCCTCATGGGCTCCACTATCCGTAAGCGCAAGATGTATGAAGAGTTCCTCTCTCGTGTATCTATACTTGGTGAGTTGGAAACCTTCATCAAGCTTTGGCTCTGCATTAAATAGAAACATAATTTTAAGTAAACAGTTCCTTATGAAATAGTCAATGTACTTTGTGTTAAGTAACAACAAACACTGGTGTAGAATCCGAGGGCTCAGTTGTCATTACTCATGATCCTTGCCCAGTTTCATCCACCTCTCATTCATTCTACATTCCCATTTCTCATTTGTTTCACTACTGCAACAGCACGTGGTGATGTTTATAAATTCAAAAGTTTCCCATGTGTGATATCCTCATGCTCTGTGTGGCCTGATATTTTCTTGAGTGCTTTGTTTTCAAAACATGCTTGTAGTTTGCGTTCTTCTGTTCCTCTCAGGCTGAGACCATGTCATAAGCGCCCAAACAACTGGCTAAGTTTTTTTTAGGTATTATATACTTTGGACTTCAGTATATTGGAAAGCAAATGGGATGGTAACAGTTTCTAAACTGAATAATAGCAAATATTACCTGAATATATCTTTTTCTCATTTAACAGTGACTTGATTTATATTTGTTGCTGGTACAGGAAGTAGAAGACTAAATTTTTCCTGAAGTGCAGCATATTAAATATACAGGCATCCATTTTACAAACACTTGATAATGAATTTCTGCTACAATGAAGCATGTTAATTTGAACCTATTTTCCACTTACTGAAGTTCATATTGGCTACAACTAACAACTTTCATGAAATGAAATACCTTCTTAAATTGATGGATACATGTACTTTAACCTGAAACAAGAAACAGTCCTGTCATTTCAACTCTCATTTCTTGACAGAGAGTCTGGATAAGTGGGAGCGTCTGACAGTTGCTGATGCATTGGAGCCAGTGTCATTTGAGGACCGGGAAACCATTGTGCGGCAGGGAGAACCCGGAGATGACTTCTACATCATTGTTGAGGGCACTGCCTTAGTATTGCAATATAGAGCAGAAGGGGAAGAACCCATGGAAGTTGGTCGACTTGGGCCATCTGATTATTTTGGTAAGTCAAGTCTGTATTATAATGCAGTGTATCATACTGTTTTATATTCATACGTGTCCAGGCACTAATTGATATTGAAGAAAAGAGTGTGAACTGTATTCAGTAAGATCAGGATAGGGGCCAGTGGTGCCTTCTACGAACACCATAATAAACCTTCGGGTTCCATAAGCATGGAGAATTTCTTGCTGAATTGAGAACAACATGAAAATTTGTGTATCATGAGGTTATTTAATATTATGAGGTTTTAAGACTTGCTACATTATATTTTGCTGAAACCCCATCTGTCTTTTCTTTAAAGGTGAAATTGCCCTGCTGCTGGACAGACCACGGGCGGCTACAGTTGTTGCCAAAGGGCCCCTCAAATGTGTCAAATTGGATAGAGCAAGGTAGCATATTACCTCCAGATATAGTGGACTCTTAATCTTTGTCTTAAGAATATTTTTTCTGTAGGGTGACAAAGTATGAATCAGGAAATTGAAATCAAACACCTAGAAGCATCGGACGAATGCACGAATGGGGGAGAGGAGGAATGTGTATAGGATATTGGTGGGAAAGCCAGAAGGAAAGAGACCACAGGGAAGACCAAGGCATAGGTGGGTGGACAATATTAGAATGGATCTTAGATAGGATGGGATGGTATGGATTGGATAGATCTGGCTCAGGATAGGGACCAGTGGAGGGCTCTTGTGAACACGGTGATGAACCTTCGGGTTCCATAAAATGCTGGGAATTCTTGAGTAGCTGCAGAATTGGCGGCTCCTCAAGAAGGGCTCAGCTCCATGAGTAAGTAAGTAAGTAAGAGTGACAAAGTAGGGACAGTGTGCAAAATATTTTACATTATTTTTGGAACAGGAGTCTGATCACTATTTAGAGTTTTTATACTAGTATTTGGCCACTATTTACAATTTCTGTTTTGGTATCCATCTTGTATTTGCTACTTGGCCACTACTTACAGTTTCCCAGCTACTATCGAGCCACTATTTGCAGTTTATTTACTGGCATGCATCTGCTATTTTAAAACCGTGACTACTGTGTTAACTTGTGACAGACATTTACAGTGTTTTATTTCCATTTGATGAACAGCTTTATACTATGATACCTAGGCATGTGAAACTTTGTTTATTAACTCTCTTTCTGCCCATTATAAGATCAGAAGATCAAAATTTTTTTTTTGGCCAGACACGAGGGCTTCCAAGTTTCCTGAACCTCAGTGAGAAATCAGATTAAGACTAGAAAGGCCCTGATAATTTCTCACTGTTTTATTATTTTTGCAGTGCAGTTATATACGTATGTATCAGAGGCAGTGCAAAATTACCACATTGCAAGTTTTCTCATAAACATACAATTTACATGTGTCATCATGTTGCAGATTTGAGAGAGTGCTGGGCCTGTGTGCAGACATCCTCAAGAGAAACATCACACAATACAACAGCTTTGTGTCCCTTTCTGTGTAATGAGGGCAAGGTACCATGATAACTGTCTAGTGTAACTTTTTTAGCTTGTAACATCTTGTGGCTATATTCAGGGGAGCAAGTAAGACCTTCTTCATACAAAAAACAGAAAATGTATGAAATGCATTAACAGAGTCAGCATTTGTCCATGAATGTACAATTTTTCATCCTGTCATTAAATTGATATGGTGTAAAATGAAGATAAGTTTCAAGTGTACAAGTATTATGTTTCTGAACATTATCCATCATCCTATCTATATATAAAATACTGTCCTACTTACATTTCAAGAAACACCGTTTTGGAAACTGGATTCTGTCTCTGTCTTCAAGTAAAACCTATTCAGTTGGTCCCAATCAATAGAGCTGGTCTCTATCCGTATCCGTATCGATTGGCCCCAGTTGAGTAGGTTTTACCTGAACACAGAGAGAGATTCCAGTCCCCAAAACATTGTGTTTTGAAATATAAACAGGACAGTGTTTCAGATAAAAACAGGACAGTGGATAATGTCCAGAAATTTAATATTTGCATTAATGTACCATCATCACATACTTTTAGATATTAAGTTACAAGCGATTTAAAACCTTTTTGGAGCCTGGAGGTCCACATGTAAGGAAGTTCATAGTTCCTTTGTCTGAAAACGAAAGCTCTTTTTGTTCTCTTGTGGTAGCTCTGTAAAGAGATGGGCTTTTCCTGACATTGGCACCTGGTAGGCTGTGCAGACAGCTGTATGGGTGGGTTGGCAAGGCATAACCTGACATCTGTGGAGAGATGCAAGTAATAGTATAGTAAAAAAGTTGCTGGGAAACATGCCCAAGAAAACTGATTAAAAGTATTTCGTTATGTATAGGTTTGTAATCGTGTCTTCAGACTGCCACTTCCAGATGTCACAGGAAATTAGTGCATGCTATTGTATTTGAATATTTTTCAAGAAGGGGGAAATGCAGTACCATAGTTGATTGAGGCATTATGCTGCAAGCTGGAAGGAAGCTGGAATTAAATTAGTTTGCAGATTATAAGGACAAAAAAAACGGAAAAAACAGTCACAGTCGACAGACAAGATAAATACCAATTATTAAGGAAAGGTTAGGATAAAGGAAGTGGGAAGAAAATTACATACTCAACGAAGAATTTTAATCAACACAAGAACAACCAGATGCCATGTTGTCACCTCAAAGTGAATGGCACACCTATGCTTCTTGTAGCTCTCTGTCGTGATAAAATAGTGCTACGAATAAAAATAGAACAGGAAAATATGTTGATTTTAATGCAGACAGTCTTGGTGGCATTTTGGTATACTTTTCCTTTTCCACAGCCAGTGTTACTTCGTTTAATTCTTGTATTTCCTCGTGTTTCCATCTGCCAACAACCAGACGCCATGTTGTCATCTCAAAGTGAATGGCTACTATGCTTCTTGTATGTCTTTGTCATGATGAAATAATGCTAGGAATAAAAATAAAATGGGAAAATGTTGAATTTTAATGCAGATGACCTTGGTGGCATTTCAGTACTCTTTTCCACAGCCAGTGTTACTTCGTTTAATTGTTGTATTTCTTCCACTACCGCCTTACCGTGTGTGTTATGCATTTATTTATAACAACAGGATATATACACATTACAGTTACCTCTCAATAAGATTTTTTGGAGAATGATTTAAGTTTGTTCTCCATTCAAGAATCAATATCTTCAGCAAGTCTAGAACCCTTGCTCTGGTGAAATGTTCTCTTTCAAAAATACACAGAGGCGAAGAAAATTATACTAAAGCATCGCTACTTTTCCAGTTAGATTTGTTATTGTTTAGTCAATATTCTGCAAAACATCTGCAGATTTGTAAAAATGCAACTCTTTTACATTAATAAGCAGAAGTAATCTCACAACTATTATTATAACAATACTAATCCTAGGATATGTAATCAGACCAGCTCATGGTTTAGGGAGATGAAGTTGATAGGTGACCACTCTGGGAAGGATAAGTAGTGTTTGGCAATAGGCAGGGATACTACTGAGTGAAAGGAGTTCTAGGTCACAACTGGTATGTCTTGAATTTCAAGCTTCACAGAAATTATTTTCATGACGAAAGAAACATTCAGCACGCTCTGCACACTTCTGAATTTTAGAATGAATTATTATTTTAGTTTTCCTGGAAGATTTTGTCCTATTGGGACTGCAGAAAATTAATTTCAGTATTTGAATAGAAATATAAAATGACAATTTTTCACTGTTGTCAAAAGTCATCCGAGTAAAAAATTTTCAGCATTTTTTGGATATTAGTTGAACAGTATAAAAGATTATCAACTCCGTCCAGTGTGATTGATAAATGTTTTTTCTCCTTTTTAATCTTTCATCCTTGACCTGTTTCAGTTGGTTCGACCGACACGTCAAGGATGAAATATCTGTCCAGAAATTGGATGGGTGTTTCTTCCCTTCCTTGCGCTGCCTCATGAAGTTGGTTGTAGTGGTACCGCGCCGGTAGTTTTTCACTAAAGCGGTCCACTAACGCTGCTTTCAGCTCTTCATATCTCACATTTTCCCCTGCGAGGTGGTCCCTACCGTTTATGAACACTCTTGCTTCTCCTATCAACTTAGCTCTCACTATGTCCGCTAAGTCCTCCCGTGACCAGTTGCTCAGGAGTGCACACTGCTCCACCTGCGATATAAACTCCCTTACCGGTCTGGCGTTGGGCTGACCGCTCCATTCCTTGATGCTTGCGGCCAGCGATAAATCTTTGGTCTTAACCCCTATTGTTAGCCCTCTTAATTGCTCCTCTAATTGCGCTATTCTAGCCTCCATGATTCTATTTAATATTATCCCTGCTTATTCCTGTTTTCTCAACCTTTCTCTTCTACCAGTCTCTACGGGGTGTGTTTTCGTTGATCACGCAGCTGCCACCACTTTGTTACACCTCAGGGGGAGGGGGTAAGAAAATATAATTACTTTAGTCTGTCGCTGCCCAGTTACTAAAATCTTCGCGGCCCTCGGCTGCCGTCGGCTGTCTTGGTTCTGGTCGCTTGGGATCGGACGTGGACGGGGTGGTTAGGAAGGGGTGAATCAAAACTCCCTGCGTACATCCTATCCTATGTACACTGTCTATTTACATTAATATTTACATTAAGAAAAAGGGCCTGCTTTGGCCTGTTACATAACACTTCTTGCTAAGCCCTTTCTACTTTCTCTGTCGGTGGGGGAGGTACCGTGAGATTGTTGCTTCCCTTCATGGTTTGTCACTCTCTACTCATTCCTACCCTATTCTAACCCTATTCTAGCCTGGCTCTCGCTGGGGTACACTGGAGACTGCACTTAAGATCTCACAACAACACTTTTATCACACTAATGTTTAACAGCATGGCGTATATGAGCAAAGAGACTTACTTGTAATACAAATGTAGATTACTGTCACCATCCACCATCTTGTGGCACACGTCGACTAGAGCCTCCGGCAGACAACTCAATATTCTGTGTTAGATCAGAATCCCAAGTCTCTCGAAATTCAGTAATTTATAGTTTTAATTTGCTAATTCAGCTGTTGACGACAGAGGGTAGTTAACTCCTCCTCAGTGTCCTCAATTCCCAAAGTAATATTCTCATTGGATATTCTAGGTGGCTGGGGGTGGACCCACGGTATCTTATTGCTGCGTATTTACTCATATGACCATCTCCAGTGGCCTAGTTAGCGGAGCGTCTTACTTACGGTATTACGCATAAATGCTGATCATCTACATTCTTAACCTAGTTGCCTGTCCAGGTGTTGTCATCTACTGTAATGGCTGTAAAACACTTTTCGCAAGTCTCGAACATTTAGGTAATGGCTTAAATTTCCAGTCTCAAATTTGAGGCGCTACATGCAGTAAATGCGTGTCGTGCAGAAAGCAGTTTTTTGCACTTAGTCAACTACATCTACTGTTATTACCCTCACTTCTCTTAATATTCTCAAATGGGCAAAAAACAGCATGTATAAATGTTGATATATCATTTGAAATGATGAAAGGTTGTTTATTTTTTCTTTGCATGTGGACCTCTTTGGAATATAATGACTTCCCATAATTTCAGTGTTGTACGAGTACTATCTTAAGAATTACAGAGAAGACAAAAAAAAACTTTGTGATCATTTTCATACTTCATATGTAGAAGTGTTTGAGGATAACCATTGAGCACTACTACTTTTTTTATCTCCATTTTAGATTGGACAGTTTTGGGACAAGGCAGAAAGGGTATATTTGAGCCAATTTAGATTACCAGTAACGTCCAACAAAAAGTAACATGTATTTGCGATATAAACAAAATAAACTCTTGTACTGCCTAGCCCAATGCTACAAACTAGGAAAAAGTTGTAGGCTTTTTTGTATAAAGTATAAAGCAACTAAATATTGGCAAGATTAAATTTTGGCAGGCATAGCAGAACACATTTGACTGGTTTGTTCAATTCATTTGCAGGAAATTAATTGAAGACCCAACATAATGCAATTATTTTGCCAACCTAAAGCTCAAAAAATACTGAGATAATCTATTGTTTCTGAAGAAATGGATAAGAATGGATTTGAACTGCTGCAAGTAATAATTTTTGGTTAATTTCTTGAAGTAGCTCTATGACATTCAGTACTGAGAAGTCCTGGATTAGTCATGTTGGTTCACTGCCAGTACCATCAGTGTGTTTGTGTAGATGTAAGCTCAAAGACATATTGGCTAGATGGATTCTGTGTTTACTGCCGGTATTTGTCTGAAATACACATTGGCAACTGTTAGAAGTTGTCTGAAGGTCTGTGTCCCCCCTCCCCCCACTGTGAATATTAAGTGGAGGCTCGCATTTAATGGGCGATGGTAGCATATGACTGGACATTACTTGAATTCATTTTGGAAGTAAGGTATTCATTTTGAAAAGTTGTATGAACTTCCCAGTTTGTAAATCTGCAGACAGGCCTGTACCTGTGGAACTTTCTGCTAATTGAGATTCTGTGTTCTGTGAAAGCAGATGGCTAGAGTGAATTAGCCTGTTTGGCCCCAGACTACAAAGACTGCATATTGAAAAGGTATAATAAAATATTGTTTACATATTTATTTTTCCCCCCTTAAATTTCTAATGAAATTTTTCAGAATATATTTCCTACCACCCCCAGTATAATATTTTTGCCTCTGCCACCACATGGCAGTTGGATGTACAGTACAATATAGGAGATGCATTGCATTTGTAGAATTGAACTGAACCAGTACTTGCAGCTTACTCGTATAAACACAGAGCGTTAGGCTAATCAATCTATGCTCTTTTATGGTTTAAATAACTCTAGGTATAATTTTAAAAACACTTCATTGGCTTCCACAGCACGGATTGCTTAATAAAGTCTCAGTGTCCAGGGGAAAAGTGAGAAGAATGACAGCATTACACACAAGGTAGTGGCATTAAAGAATGTACTAGTATATTCACAATTGTGCATGTGTATACTCGATATATTTTTCACACAGCTATGTATTTATTTACTACAGCTGTAATATAGAATAGATTGGAGATGGTCATGATGCAAAACTCATTTAATACCAATCCCTTTAATCAAATTTACAATGGCTATATGAATTGAGTCTTTGGTTTGATATTTTATTCACTGTTTTTGGCTATTCGTTTAAAATGCTGCCTTTCTTATCTTGATGTAAAATTTCAGTTCAGGTATTATTATAGACATATGCTGTTTTAACAGCATATTTTCTTGCCATTCTTACTGCATTTCCTATTTGGAGTGCCACGAACCAGGTGTTCATAACTTCAGAATTCAAATCACACAGTATTATTCATTCATTAATGAAGCAATTTGTATTTACTGTAATGAAGTCAATGTTAACAAATCAGTCACTTAATCGCAAACTGGCAATAACCGGTAAATGTTTATAGTTTTGACATCTGTAGCATATTTTGTTACATTCCAAAATATGCCTGTTTTCATGACAAATGACAAGCCATTACAGAGAATGTGCAAGGTCTAATGGCAGCAGAAAGGTATTTTTATGGGAGTAATTATTAAAAAAAAAAACCTTTTGTGACATGTACAGATCCAGAAATATCCAAAAGGACACAGAAGTTTTATATGTTAAACGCTGTTTAAATTGCAGTTCCATCAAATGCCAAACAAAAATACAGAATCCGTTGCTAGTCTATGTTCCCCTAGAAATGAGAAGTGAACACTCTGCTAGCAGTGTTATCAACTGAGTATAAATTTGTACCCACATTGAATTTAAAGAAAAGGTAGACTTGGTCAAGAAATAACCAGATGTTATCCTAATACAAGTAAAAATAGTTTTGTGGATCGGTTTCCTGATTTTGTTACATCATATTCTCACTGATATATCTCACTTGACTCTTAACAAGGATAACCTTTGTACCAGCACAACTAATACCACATACCAATTAGCATTAACAGATCTTCCCGATGATTTGAATGTTTCTTAAAAGTTTATAATTGTTATTAAATCTGTTTATAAAATATGATCCATGATAAGTCAGTAAAGTGATAAGCCATGGATTGAATAGTTGGATTCTTATTAAGGACAAGCGATTGCATGATTACCTCCACACTCCCAAACACAGTGGTGTGCTGCTTATGCATATGATAGCTCTACCTGCCAAATCTGGCTACCAGACAGTAAGAACCAGCTATCATGGTTAGTGATGAGCACTTCCTTTCATACTTAAGTTCTTGGGGGTAGGGGGATATTAACTACGCTTTCAGTGGCCTCAGTATGTCATTGACATTCAGGTGGTCCTGGGTTTTTAATCCTATCCCAAGGGCTGGTCCTGATTGGTTTAATTCAGGCAGGCCATTTCCCAGTTCACCCATTTGTCATTTAGGAAGTGTTATTAAATATACTAAGAATGAATAATAGAAACTTCTTTTCCATTTCAAGTATGAGGTATAGGTTAGATATGCAGGTTCCAAAAGTATTTACAAAGCTTCAGTCAAAGAACATTTATTTAAATTCAATGTTGGCAGGCAGATGGTGCTTAAATATCAGCTGTTGGTGGTTTGATTGATTGTTTCAATATGGCAGCCCTGTAGGATATATAAAAAAATCCCACATTTGAGACACACATATAAATTTAGTTACTTAAGATCTGGTCAACATCTTACACTGCATGAGCTGAGAGCTGAAGTAACTAGTTCTTATATAATATCCATACACTGAAGTGAAGGGGTCACGCAGCAGCATAGTTGGTTGAGGCACTGTGCTACAAGCTGGAATGTCATGGGTTTGAGTCCCAATGAGGTGTTTTTTTTTTTTTTAATTTACCTAATGCTTCCAGCTGCACTATGGCCCTGTGTTCAACTCAGCCTCTGACAGAAGTGAGTACTAGGAATCTTCCTGGGGGAGGTAAAGGGCCACCAGCGTGTAAGGCTGACAGCCTTACCACTATCTGTGAGCCACTTGTCTCACAACCCTTTGGGCCTTCATGGCCTGTTACAGGGATAGCTTTAGCATAAACTGAAGTGAAACAATGGGGTACTTGCAGGAACACACTTAATTTTGGAACTGGTTTTAATTTGGAATTATTAGCAGTTACAGAAAGCAAGAAAGATTGACATCCTATTCAGCACAAATCCAAGGAAACAAAATACTATACAAATTTCCCTTTTCTTAATTTCAACCTTTGTTGTGTAGCATTTAAATTTCCTTTATAAGATAAAATTTTTCCCTGTGGCAGTTAAAGGCTGATGGCTTTGTGGTAAATTTTTGTCTAGACTGTTCCTGTTTTGTACACTGCTTCTGACTAATGATACTGGTGGCATTTGTAGCTGAAACTTAAAAGAGTACAGGCAACACTGACAGTCTGGCTGACCAAGTAATACCATACCCAAGACCCTGGGTTCAATATTGCCCAATTCCAGGACTCCCTGCCCTGCCCCTCATTTCTACAAAATCAGTATTTAAAAAATGTGGGAATACCAGACAGCCATTCAAGGCCACCACTGTAGTTCAACCCACACTGGCCATCTTAATTGCAAGCTAGTGGTACAGTCTGTTTCATAAAATGTCACCAATATAAGAAAACCTCTGTGCCTGAGATAAGAAGAAGGAAGTGCTGAAAATCAGAAACTTGTAAGCCTATATTACTTGAATGCAGCAGAAAACCAGCATCAGCTAAGTCAGAAGATGGCATGCCTAGCAGTAAAAGTTAATTCATTCTTAAATGATTCAGTGTTGCTGTTTAAACTGTGAATAAGATATCAAGATAATCAGTCATACGAGGCTTTGGAACACAATCATGGGCTGCTTCGACTGTTCTCTGTATCCACATGGCTAGACTGAGGAATGTCACAAAAATCAAGTCCAAGGAATGAGCAACCCAGCCAAGAATTGAACCACACCAATCTACTGTAGGTCCTCTGTACTGAACAACACTTCCAGTATTGCCCTATCATTAAGAATATATGGAATCCTGGCTCTGTGGATGTTGTCACTACACGCTTGCTAAATACGCAGGGGTAAAGGTATAAAAGGTAACTGGAGGCATTTGAAGAATAGGAATTGGCAGTCCATTACATCGGTTCACATATATTCCATTATAAATGGTCTTTGTTAAAGCAGCTGCTGCTTTCAAAATGGTTAACCACATGTGCAGAGTTGCAGCATATGACATTTGGGGTGCATAAGTAATACCCTTTTTTACACTGAAAAGGAATTTCCAGCATGCATCAGTATATTTGATGGATGTTAAGAGCAATTCTGTTATTATTTCTGATATACAGTAAAAATTACATAATGTAATTAATCTAGACAACTCAGGATTGTGAAGGTATAAATAATTTGATAGGCTAGTCTTGCATAATTTTATTTGTTGTTAGAGAAGTAACAGCAAAAATTAGATTTTCTGATAACATGGGAATAGGTTCACTGTCATGTTTCCATATTACAAAGTTGGAATTTAATATTCTGACTGAACATAAGAAATTAACACACATTTATTATTACACCAGATGTATGATTTATGTACATAACAAATCTCTAAACATTGTTAATGAAGATAAAGAATTGATACTTTTTTTCATATTATACAAAAAAAAAACAAAAAAAAACACGAAAATAATTAAATATGTTCCACACTGTATTTCATACAGTAAGATTTTCCATTAAATCTCCATATTGTAACAAGTCCATAGGTTTCTTTGGGTACAGTGAATGTGTAAACACACATATCAGCCTTTAAAATGTGATACTACTAGAAATAAAACTCTCAAGTCACAAACTCAACTTCCCCAAGTTGCTGCACCGACTGCCTCGAAGTTTTTTACTGTACTTGAGGGCACAGCAGTTTCCTGGATATTTACGAGTAACATTCTCACACTTTCATCAGAAATCGTGTAGCACTGTAACATGTACTTCTTACGCATATTTAGAGATTTTAAGCACTGGACATAATAGATTATGTAACAAAAATGTATTTTCAGCACTGTATAATATACACTGAAAGAAAAATTAAATTAGTTTGCAGATTATAAGGACAAAAAAAAACAGTCACAGTCGACAGACAAGATAAATACCAATATTAAGGAAAGGTTAGGATAAAGGAAGTGGGAAGAAAATTACATAAGGAATTAAAAGTGATGCAAGGTGAAAAATGTACTGAAGTGAGACCAAACCAAGTTGCCATCTTCTTCTCCATTCTTCTGATACAGCGCAGGAATGCTGTGGGTTTTCTTCATCATTATACAGATGCAAAATGGAAAATCACGTTGCTAGGAAATCAGCCTCAGTAGCATATCTCTCTTCATCCTTCCATCTCAAGCAGTGTTATCTCCTTGAAGCTCAGCCCTGCTTTCATCCAGTAGTAGCCTAACTTACTGCTTCAAAATCCTAACTACCTTGGCAGGACATGAAGGGAGGTCCCCAAGTTCTAAATGGCAATATGACAGAAGACAAAACACCTCAGCAGTGATAAGAAGCTATCAAACCAAGACTCAACGAAGAATTTTAATCAACACAAGAACAACCAGATGCCATGTTGTCACCTCAAAGTGAATGGCACACCTATGCTTCTTGTAGCTCTCTGTCGTGATAAAATAGTGCTACGAATAAAAATAGAACAGGAAAATATGTTGATTTTAATGCAGACAGTCTTGGTGGCATTTTGGTATACTTTTCCTTTTCCACAGCCAGTGTTACTTCGTTTAATTCTTGTATTTCCTCGTGTTTCCATCTGCCAACAACCAGACGCCATGTTGTCATCTCAAAGTGAATGGCTACTATGCTTCTTGTATGTCTTTGTCATGATGAAATAATGCTAGGAATAAAAATAAAATGGGAAAATGTTGAATTTTAATGCAGATGACCTTGGTGGCATTTCAGTACTCTTTTCCACAGCCAGTGTTACTTCATTTAATTGTTGTATTTCTTCCATTACCGCCTTACCGTGTGTTATGCATTTATTTATAACAACAGGATATATACACATTACAGTTACCTCTCAATAAGATTTTTTGGAGAATGATTTAAGTTTGTTCTCCATTCAAGAATCAATATCTTCAGCAAGTCTAGAACCCTTGCTCTGGTGAAATGTTCGTTTTCCTCAGCCACACAGCATTTTCATGTTTATCTTCAAAATTCCACAGCTCAACATTCCTCCAACTTGCATGATGAAATCTTGGAGACTCTTCATATAAAATTACTCTCCTAACTCAAATGAAATGAAACTGGAATCTTTATGAGCAAGCAAGGAACCTGTTCAGTCCTCTCAACAAATCTGAATGTAGTCATGACAGTTTGATCCTGACTACATCCAAAATTTGTCAAGGTCCACAAAGTTGATGAATACTGCTTTTCAAAGTACTCCATCGCAACTTGAATATTTATAGTATCATACAGCGTTTTGTCCCAAAAGCAAACTTTGTACATGCATTCATCCAAGTGCCTGCCATTTGTCTGAAACACTGGATGATAGCACAGTATAAGATTTGCAATGAAACAATAACTATGTATGAGACAAGCCACAAGAAACATTAATGGAATCCACTGTTAATGCTACAATAATCATGGTAGTTAATGTCCTCTTCTTTCTTGTGCTGTACTTGAAGCAACTTGCCTCTACAGAGAAGTTTCTTCAACTCTGAGTTGCCTTTTGTTCTTCACCATAATGTGCAAGTATCTGAAATTTTCCTCTTGGAATAAAAGTACTTAAAGACTTCATCCTCTTCAGACTTCAAAACTTTGGAAACAATCTCATATTAATAAGTGGTATCCCTAACAAATTGTAATGGTCAAAGACATCAATCACTATGTTGTGTTACACAACAAATAATGTATATTCAAATTCTAAATTCACATTAAATAATGTGGTCTTCATAGCTGGAACCTTAGTTGAATCTGCCTCCTAGTTTTACATATTCTGGAGTTACACTTCGGTGAATGGAACTGACACACTTTTCTTGCAGAAACCATCCTCTTCACAAGACTTAAAGAACACAGAATAACAATCCTGGAATGTGTTATCACCTGAATATCAAGTCTGTACACATATATATCTTCTTGCTGGGATGTGTATGAGAATGTCTTATTATTTATTACACATAATTATCATGATACTGTCCTTGTAAAGATGCATACAGTTGAAAATACGTTACTTCCCTACACTTCCTTACAACTTGATCACCAAAAAGTAATACTCCCACATCTTCTGAATGAAGTATATTAGCACAGTAAAACCACGCTATCAACACAGGATGGCAGTGAAAAATTATGGATTTCATTTTTACAGATGACGTGAACAACCCCTTGGGACCTCCCTACAACATACATTTCACATTGCGTTGATAGCCGCAAGACTAGCTTTGCAATCAATCCTGGTCCTCTGGTTACCCTCAAATGTGAGGCCAAATGGTGTTATAAATTCTAAGCACTTCTCATCCGAATCGAAAGCCAATTCCTGCACCACGAAACTCAGGGGCAAGAACGGACGGTAGCTGAGATCACAAACACAAGAGAGACAATATTAGACAAACAACAGGCCCTACAGAGAGATGAATATACTGAAAAGGAAGAAAAGCATTACCATTCCACACCAGAGCCTGGAACAAAGCAAATGTCATGTTAGAGGCCAACATTTAATGCAATACTTATTTCTGAAACTGCCTACCATGATGCAACCCAGCAGTTCACAGCACGTTGAAAAGGGTTCACTCCATCTTACACTCCCCAATTTCCTTCTTAATTTTTCAATTCATTCACCCTCAAAATATTGTCAACAGTATGATATTAATTTTTAATTGTAATTTTAGTTCTCTTTCAAAAATACACAGAGGCGAAGAAAATTATACTAAAGCATCGCTACTTTTCCAGTTAGATTTGTTATTGTTTAGTCAATATTCTGCAAAACATCTGCAGATTTGTAAAAATGCAACTCTTTTACATTAATAAGCAGAAGTAATCTCACAACTATTATTATAACAATACTAATACTAGGATATGTAATCAGACCAGCTCATGGTTTAGGGAGATGAAGTTGATAGGTGACCACTCTGGGAAGGATAAGTAGTGTTTGGCAATAGGCAGGGATACTACTGAGTGAAAGGAGTTCTAGGTCACAACTGGTATGTCTTGAATTTCAAGCTTCACAGAAATTATTTTCATGACGAAAGAAACATTCAGCACGCTCTGCACACTTCTGAATTTTAGAATGAATTATTATTTTAGTTTTCCTGGAAGATTTTGTCCTATTGGGACTGCAGAAAATTAATTTCAGTATCTGAATAGAAATATAAAATGACAATTTTTCACTGTTGTCAAAAGTCATCCGAGTAAAAAATTTTCAGCATTTTTTGGATATTAGTTGAACAGTATAAAAGATTATCAGCTCCGTCCAGTGTGACGGATAAATGCTTTTTCTCCTTTTTAATATTTCATCCTTGACGTGTCGGTCAAACCAACTGAAACAGGTCAAGGATGAAAGATTAAAAAGGAGAAAAAACATTTATCAATCACACTGGACGGAGTTGATAATCTTTTATACTATTGCTAGTGTGACGGACCAAGATGCACCAAATCAAATTAACTGAACACTTACCTGTATTTTGTTGCCTAACCCACAGATAACATTCCAATTGTTTCTACCTTAAGCTTCATATGAGATATGATACTAGAGAAGTTTGGGTTCAATAACAGTAAGAATATTTATAGTAATACGTACGTTTTGATCAATGATTTGATGGCTGCTTTACGCTCTCTGTCTGCAAACCAGTCAATCAGATACCCTGCCATGCGGGGTGATTCAGTATAAAGTTTAAATAAGCGATGGTAATTTCCAAGCCACCATGCTGAGCGGACTGCCAGTGCATGTACCACACATTCATCTGTCTTGTCTTCTGGAGTCAGTGATGCCAGAATTGTAGTTAAGTCTGAAACACACAAAGTGTAGGAATCTATTTAGGAAGCGATGGGGGAAGGACTGTTCCACCTATAAAAACTGAATTAAAATTGTATGTGAATATGTGAATAAAAAAAGATCCTGCAGATTTTAAATAATGTATTGAATAAACGTTCGCTTACCAAGAGTGTTTTTGGTGAAAATATAGTACAGAATACGATACGCAGTAAATTCCAGCCTGTTTGCACCACCAATCTCAGAATACAGCATCTTGAGCTGCGTCTGGCACTGATTAAATTCCTCATGGTCTCCTTTCTCCAGAGCGATTCTTGCATGCGTCTCGTACACTTCCACGGTAAATGCATCACGAATCCCTTGAACCTGTCAAATAAACACATTCTTACTTGCATGAGGCATAATATGTTGCGACAGTTTTCATAGTACAGTATTAACTGACCTGACGTGAAATAAAAGCTACCCTTATATAAGACAGAACAGCTAATAGCATGTGGCTAAGTTATTGAGGAACTGCAGACTGTGACTCATTTTTGCGTTATCTTATGACAATGTCAGCAGCTACACTATGCAGCGTCAAATGGGGTAGGACGGTTGATGCATTGGAAAGCATCTGGAAGCAGTCATGATTGAATTAAAGTAGCAACCCAGCAGTTGCCCAGGACTGGGGAAACCCATAAAAAAACCTTGATCATGGTAGCCATGTCCTAGCTGAGATCTACAATTCCCGTTTCCTAAATAAAAGTATGATGTTCTGCTGCCAGGCCAATCTGTTCAGTACCACAATTCAAATGTGGACACAAATAGTGATCGGTGAGTCCAGAGTCATTAATGGTGAAAATAATCATACTAATAAGCTTTGGCTTCGCACATTAAGAGACTTTAGATTACAGTAGAACTTGGTTATAACGTCATCAAAGGGACCTAAAAATAGTGTCGTTATAAACGAATGTCGTCGTAACCGAAATGGGCACTTCCACAGTAGCCTTATGTTAGTCACGTAAAAATCTACCAAAAACCGAGTTAAAATGTTGCATTTTTTAGTGAAATACGTAGTTAAGTACAGACTAACGTAACATTAACGCGGAATTGCTCAAATGTGTAATACATCAGCCATATT